TAGTTTTATCTATTTATGCGTTGTGTTGAATGATGTGGTGTTCTCATTTTCTGGTTAGTCTTGCACTCTATATGCTTTTGGTTGAATTCTGCACTAATTTTGGGCTTTTAATACTTGTATTACCGTTGGTTAATGTACATGTGCTATGCACATGAACTATTTCTAATAATATTCTATGTTTTTATTAGATCCATTTGTTGTGGTATGGGTCAACAAAATATTTGGATTGACACATTACCAACAGTTCGTAGCTCTCGATTCATTACCAATAGTAAATGACCAAAGGACATTGGCACTCTCCTGACTTTGTGGCGAAAGGAAGAAAAGAGGATCAGGCAGTATGTCACTAGCTATTAGACACCAGGTATTAGGAGGAGGTCAACGAAGTAAAAGGCCGCACAGAGGTGATGATAGTTGCCTCTTTCAGGCTCGGGCTTGATCGAGGCACGGACCTTTATCGGTCCTTGACGAAAAGGACATGGACCAGCCTTAGAGACCTAATGGATCGGATAGACAAATATGAGAAGGTCAAAGATGATATAGTTGGGGTGGCAAATGGTCCATTTCCAAGAAAAGGGAGAAGGATCAGCCGGGCAAGAATGATGGATCTTCATAGGACCCGACTAGACTATCTTTCTTGGGAATCTGCATGATTTTCAAGGAGCCCATCTATACTGTAACATGCATATCTTATTTGTACGCCGACTAACTTAGGTATCGGAAGAGATCCGTCATGCCACTTTCCTAATCTTGTTCTCTGTTTCAGGAATCTCATGTGTGGTTCAACTGGGTACCACTACTTCAATGACTGCACATAAATCATCTTGTGCACTAAATAAGTTGCAAAAATTTGAGGTTAGACCTATAAAATTAGGTATCGACCTAAAAGGTTGTGATTGATTATAAATCACTATCTGAACTTACACTATTAGAATTGTAACTCGACCAGATTGAACTATGATTTTCTTTACAAAAAAATGAAAATTTATTTTTTAATACACACACACACACATATATATATTACTTATAAATGTCAATATCTGTAAAAAAATNGTGGTGTTCTCATTTTCTGGTTAGTCTTGCACTCTATATGCTTTTGGTTGAATTCTGCACTAATTTTGGGCTTTTAATACTTGTATTACCGTTAGTTAATGTACATGTGCTATGCACATGAACTATTTCTAATAATATTCTATGTTTTTATTTGATCCATTTGTTGTGGTATGGGTCAACAAAATATTTGGATTGACACATTACCAACAGTTCGTAGCTCGATTCATTACCAATAGTAAATGACCAAAGGACATTGGCACTCTCCTGACTTTGTGGCGAAAGGAAGAAAAGAGGATCAGGCAGTATGTCACTAGCTATTAGACACCAGGTATTAGGAGGAGGTCAACGAAGTAAAGGGCCGCACAGAGGTGATGATAGTTGTCTCTTTCAGGCTCGGGCTTGATCGAGGCACGGACCTTTATCGGTCCTTGACGAAAAGGACATGGACCAGCCTTAGAGACCTAATGGATCGGATAGACAAATATGAGAAGGTCAAAGATGATATAGTTGGGGTGGCAAATGGTCCATTTCCAAGCAAAGGGAGAAGGATCAGCCGGGCAAGAATGATGGATCTTCATAGGACCCGACTAGACTATCTTTCTTGGGAATCTGCATGATCTTCGAGGAGCCCATCTATACTGTAACATGCATATCTTATTTGTACGCCGACTAACTTAGGTATCGGAAGAGATCCGTCATGCCACTTTCCTAATCTTGTTCTCTGTTTCAGGAATCTCATGTGTGGTTCAACTGGGTACCACTACTTCAATGACTGCACATAAATCATCTTGTGCACTAAACAAGTTGCAAAAATTTGAGGTTAGACCTATAAAATTAGGTATCGACCTAAAAGGTTATGATTGATTATAAATCGCTATCTGAACTTACACTATTAGAATTGTAACTCGACCAGATTGAACTATGATTTTCTTTACAAAAAAATGAAAATTTACTTTTTAATACACACACACACACATATATATATTACTTATAAATGTCAATATCTGTGAAAAATTTTTAATTTTTAATTTTATTCATGATTATTATTTTAAAGACAATTGTATTCACATATTTACTTTCTTTTATTTTTTAATTTTTTATATATATATTAGACTTTCAAGTTTTTTAGACTCCTTTATTAGTAGTATTTGACTTCTAAATACTTTTGAACTATTTTATCAATAGTATATTTACATAAAGTTTTGATATCAACCTGTAATTTATATATTTATATTTATAGATATAGAGCTGTCATATTGAATTTTATGGTCAAATATATGTCTTATTTAATTTTTTGGTATGCAATAATATCATAATATTATAGTACAAATAATAGTATTACAACCAAATCAATCTCGTCGACAAAAAATTAATTAAATTTATCATATAATCATATGTGAAAATAATCTAGAATTATCTTAAAAAATGATAGATTATGTATTCAAAGAATGGTTGAATAAATTAATAATTAAGTTTAGGAATAATTAAAATAAGAATTAATTATTTGACATACAATTAATTATTTAATTTAATTATAAATAAAATAATATTTTATAAAAAATATTAAATATATATTCAACTGCAACACATCCGTGATTTGATAGTAAAAAAATAAAAATTAAAAAAGACGGACAAGCAAAAGTGGTGGAGAATCTTGCATTCGCCCACCCAAAACCTGTCTTAAATGGTTATACAAAAAAGGGATGTAAAGGGGACTTTCTCCTTGTCCACATTTGCCATTTAGTCTATTGTGAATCCCCTAGTAAAAAAAATAAAAAAATCCCCCTAGATTCCTTGTCACGCAAAAAAATGTAAATATATATAGGAAAACCCGTTAAAAAAAAATCAGTATCATACCGCCAATTATCATTTTTTATGGTACAGTTATTAATTTAAAAGGGGAAGTTACAACTCATCAAGGGAAGCTCATGACCAATCAAAAACTCTCGATATCTATTTAAACCATCAATGATCGATCATACCTTTTAAAATTATAACTTATACCTAAAAAAAATTATAAATTAATATTAAAAAGTTATAATTTTCGGTACCTTACAGGCGACAATATTGTAGCCTTTCCCACAAATATAAGACCAAAAAGATATTCTTTTCCACCTTTAAAATATCCCTTCCACCTTCTCTCCCTTCCTTCGAAATTCCCTTCCTAAAGATGTGCTTAAATTGTATAAGATTTAAATAAAGGCTTCAGTTACTTAATGAATAAGGTGTTAGGGATTCTACAGGCTTAAAAACACTTTTGCCCCTGAATTTTGTCCTTTATTTGATTTTGCACTGTAAACAATATAGTTTTCTCAAGTTAATATTCAACATATGCGACATGATTCTGACTACCAACTTGAAGTATCCTGCAATATTGACCACCAAATTTGAAAAATACAAAAACTTCATTTGAAGAAAAACTAAAGCAATCGGTGTCAATAGGTTGTGTCGTATATTAAACTTACCTCGGCTCCCACCCATGTATTATTGTGTATAAACGGTTTTCAATCAAATTCAACTCATTTGATCAAAAGTCAAAACTTATCCTAGTTGATAACAATTTATTTGTAGGAAGATAGCAAGAAAATACATTAATAAAACCCATCAACACATGGTATAGGAAAATTCCTCGGCAATGAAGTATAACTAAAAAAGTTTTAGAAATTTTTAAATGGAACTCACACCCCTTCCTCACAAAGGGCATAAAATTAATTTTAGCATTTTCTTTTGATCAAAAATCAAAACTTATCCGAGTCTATAACAACTTATTTTGTAGAAAGATAGTGAGAATATACATCAATAAGACCCATCGACACAAGGTATAGGAAATTTCCTCCGCAATAAAGTATAACTAAAAAGGTTTTAGAAATTTTTAAATGGAAATCACACCCCTTCCTCACAAAGGGCAACAAATTCATTTTAGGATTTTCTTTTGATCAAAAGTCATCCGAGTCCAAAACAACTTATTTTCTAGGAAGATAGCAAGAAAATATATCAATAAGACCCATCGACACAAGGTATAGGAAAATTCCTCCGCAATGAAGTATAACTAAAAAGGTTTAAGAAATTTTTAAATGAAACTCACTCCCCTTCCTCACAAAGGGCAAAAAATTCATTTTAACATTTTCTTTTGATCAAAAATCAAAACTTATCCGATTCCATAACAACTTATTTTGTAGCAAGATAGCAAGAAAATACATTAATAAAACCCATCAACAAAAGGTATAGGAAAACTCTTCTGCAATGAAGTAGAAATAAAAATGTTTTAGGATTTTTTAAATGGAACTCACACCCCGTCTCACAAAGGGCAGAAAAGGCATTTTAACATTCTCTTTTAATCAAAAGTCAAAACTTATCCGAGTCCATAACAACTTATTTTGTAGGAAAATAGCAAGAAAATACATTAATAGGACCCATCAACACATGGTATAGGAAAATTCCTCCGCAATGAAGCATAACTAAAAAAGTTTTCGAAATTTTTAAATGGAACTCACACCCCTTCCTCACAAAGGGCAAAAAATTCATTTTAGCATTTTCTTTTGATCAAAAGTCAAAATTTATCCGAATCCATAACAACTTATTTTGTAGGAAGATAGGAAGAAAATACATCAATAAGACCCATCAACACAAGGTATAGGAAAATTCCCCCGCAATGAAGTATAACTAAAAAGGTTTTAGAAATTTTTAAATGGAAATCACACCCCTTCCTCACAAAGGGCAACAAATTCATTTTAGGATTTTCTTTTGATCAAAAGTCATCCGAGTCCAAAACAACTTATTTTCTAGGAAGATAGCAAGAAAATATATCAATAAGACCCATCGACACAAGGTATAGGAAAATTCCTCCGCAATGAAGTATAACTAAAAAGGTTTAAGAAATTTTTAAATGAAACTCACTCCCCTTCCTCACAAAGGGCAAAAAATTCATTTTAACATTTTCTTTTGATCAAAAATCAAAACTTATCCGATTCCATAACAACTTATTTTGTAGCAAGATAGCAAGAAAATACATTAATAAAACCCATCAACAAAAGGTATAGGAAAACTCTTCTGCAATGAAGTAGAAATAAAAATGTTTTAGGATTTTTTAAATGGAACTCACACCCCGTCTCACAAAGGGCAGAAAAGGCATTTTAACATTCTCTTTTAATCAAAAGTCAAAACTTATCCGAGTCCATAACAACTTATTTTGTAGGAAAATAGCAAGAAAATACATTAATAGGACCCATCAACACATGGTATAGGAAAATTCCTCCGCAATGAAGCATAACTAAAAAAGTTTTCGAAATTTTTAAATGGAACTCACACCCCTTCCTCACAAAGGGCAAAAAATTCATTTTAGCATTTTCTTTTGATCAAAAGTCAAAATTTATTCGAGTCCATAACAACTTATTTTGTATGAAGATAGTAAGAAAATACATCATTAAGACCCATCGACACAAGGTGTAGGAAAATTCCTCTGCAATGAAGTATAACTAAAAAGGTTTTAGAAATTTTAAATGGAACTCACACCCCTTCCTCACAAAGGGTAAAAAATTCATTTTAGCATTTTCTTTTGATCAAAAGTCAAAACTTATCCGAATCCATAACAACTTATTTTGTAGGAAGATAGTAAGAAAATACATCAATAAGACCCATCAACACAAGGTATAGGAAAATTCCCCCGCAATGAAGTATAACTAAAAAGGTTTTAGAAATTTTTAAATGGAAATCACACCCCTTCCTCACAAAGGGCAACAAATTCATTTTAGGATTTTCTTTTGGGCTTCAAAAATACATGTAAAGTTCTATAGAAAGAGGAACCGACACTCTTACCCTTGTGCAATGAGTGTTCTCCACTCAAATTTTCGTACCTTTACTACTCGGATGATAGGACAAGTGCTCGGGGCCACGCCGAGAACTTATGGCGATCCCCGGGAACTCATGTTGCTCTGATCGGCGCCTGACATCTACTCCCTACCGTTCATTGCTCGGGGAAACAGTACCCCAGGGTACACCGAGGAGGTATACTCTGTGTAATAGCCATTAATGTCTAGCAATCATGACTGTAGGTTTAGGTCTTGAGGATGCATAGGCTCATTAATAGCTTGTCTCAGTCGCACACATCGTCATAAATGAGTGGTCGAATCGTATTAAATGCGGGTGTCAATTTGTGTACTTGGCTCCTCCGAGTCATTGCTCCTCGGTGCCATTCCTCGGCACCTTTTGAGTTTCATAACGGCTATAACCTCACATATGTCGATTCGGGGGCTGCTGAGTCGCCGAGAGTCCCGTCAAATTCCATTTATATTCTCTTAAAAAACTCAACCATTTATATTCTCTTAAAATACTCAACTGGCACGCACGTGTGTGGTAACTAAAATTTAAAAGAATGTCCACATTGAAACATGTCACATAATTTGAGTACATATTGCAAAAAATGGCAAAAACTTTGTTTAGGGAAAATATTGAAATAATGGACAAAGTTCAGGTGCAATTATATTTTTAATCCTTAAATATGCATGCACAGAGCATCGGTGAGACCGTGTTTTTATTTTTTTTATTTAATAAAATTTAATTTTTAATTATTTATAATTATTTTATCATCTTAACAATCAATTAAACCAATTAAAATTCATAATTCCCAATTAATTTTGGTATGGTACCAATATTTTTTTTATAGATAGACTATCCAAAAAAATTTGAACTAAATAAGGTTAAACTACAATTCAATAAAATCGAGGTTATCAAGTAATAGATTACAAAAATTTCAGACCAGTCTATAAAATTAAGTATATTAACCTAAAAAGCTGTGAATTGATCATAAATCGTCGACCCTATTAACTTTTAACTTGGTTTGTCGGAATTATNTAACCTAAAAAGCTGTGAATTGATCATAAATCGTCGACCCTATTAACTTTTAACTTTGTTTGTCAGAATTGTTACTTGAATTGATTAAATTTTAATTTTCTTTAGGGTTAATTATAAAATGTCCCTTTGAACTTTGGGTCTTCTTTTAATCAGGTCATCTGGTTTAAAATCAAACAATTTGCCCTCCATACTTTGAACATTGCCTCAATTAAGTCATCATCGTTAATTCTTACTGTCAAAAGTGACGGAGAAGTTAAAAAGATAGATATTAAAAAATAAATATACCCTCTTCTCCCTAAACAAATAACTCATCGGTCCAAAAAAAAAAAAAAGAAAATTTCATTTCAACCCAGGCCAACAGATTTGCTAAATCTCCCACAGTCCTTTATCAGCAACAATCCTTACCATCAAAGACCAACAACCACCATGAGGAGTATTTACAGTGGTGGTGTATTTTCGGTGGAATTTTTTAGTCATTTGTGGCTGGGTGTGAACTGCAGTAGCTGGGTGGTTGTGGCTAGATGGTGGTTGCAATGGTTGGTGGCTGCGATGGTTTGTAGCAGGGTGGTGGTTGCAATGGTTTATGGTTGGGTGATTGTGATTGGGTGGTGCCTGTGGTGGTTTGTAGTCGGTNCTCCCTAAACAAATAACCCATCGGTCCAAAAAAAAAAAAAAGAAAATTTCATTTCAACCCAGGCCAACAGATTTGCTAATTTCATCAACAAATTTCATNGATGGTTTGTAGCAGGGTGGTGGTTGCAATGGTTTATGGTTGGGTGATTGTGATTGGGTGGTGCCTGTGGTGGTTTGTAGTCGGTTGATTATGGCTGGGTGATGGTTGGTGGCTGCGATGGTTTGTGGTTGGGTGATTGTGGCTGGGGGGTGCCTGCAGTGGTTTGTAGCTAGTTGATTGTGTCTGGGTGGTGGTTGAGTTGGAGCTTTTGGCTAGATTGGGCAAATGCAAAGGAAAAAAAATGGAGATCAATAAAGGCCAAGGGTAGAAAAGTAATTTTAAAATTTTTGTCTAATTCATCAATCAAATTGCTAATGTTGAAAGTTGAAGGAGAAAAATTGTTTAATTTTAAATTTGAGGGACTTGATTGAAATAAGACCCAAAGTTTAAGGAAGTATTTTTTAATTAACCCTTTCTTTATTGTAGTAAAAACTAGAAACATTATTTTTGAGTACTATAGAAAAATTTAAAAAGACAGAAGGAAAAATGGTGGAGAATCTCCCATTGAAGCCCATCAAACCCTATCCTTCTCACATAGTTATTAAAAAAAAAAAGAGAGAGAGATGTAAAGGAGACTTTATCCCCGTAAAAGGATCAAATAAAGGCTTCAGTTGCTTAATGAAGAGGGAGATTTTTTGGGAAAGTTGCATAATGAAGAAGGCGTTAGGGATTATATTAGGTTTAAAAACACTATGGCCACTGAATTTTATCCTTTATTTTATTTTGACCTCCAAAAATTATTTTCTTCTCAAGATAATATTCAAACTATGTAACATGATTCTGACCACCAAATTGATGTATCACACAAATTCTGACTGCAAATTTTTTTTTTTTTAGAAAAAACTTTATTAGAAGAAAAATTAAAGGAGCGGGCAAAACTCAGGCAATTGGTATTGTCAATGGATTATGTCGTTTTTTAATTTAGTATAATTTATAACTTGTATATNTGTAACATGATTCTGACCACCAAATTGATGTATCACACAAATTCTGACTGCAAATTTTTTTTTTAAAAAAAAAACTTTATTAGAAGAAAAATTAAAGGAGTGGGCAAAACTCAGGCAATTGATATTGTCAATGGATTATGTCGTTTTTTAATTTAGTATAATTTATAACTTGTATATGATATATTTATAATCGTATATAAACAAATTTGGGTCGTATCAGATTCGTGTTAATATTTTTCTTAACATGTCTAACAAAATTTTAATTTTTAATTCAAATCAGCTAAATCTCAACTCAAATTATTAAGAAAAATGTAATTTGAACTAAAACATTNTAGTATAATTTATAACTTGTATATGATATATTTATAATCGTATATAAACAAATTTGGGTCGTATCAGATTCGTGTTAATATTTTTCTTAACATGTCTAACAAAATTTTAATTTTTAATTCAAATCAGCTAAATCTCAACTCAAATTATTAAGAAAAATGTAATTTGAACCAAAATATTTGACTTTCTTTCTTGACTTACTCAATCACAATTATTGAATAGGTAATGATTCCTAATAAATACTGGGATCATAGTTAAATCAAGGACAGTGATTGATCAAGTCAACAAATTAAGTTAGCATTTTAAGTTTATGTATCATTACTCAATTATTAATGCTACAATGATTTCTTCGACTTTAGTTATAGTGTGAAAAGTTACTAAAATATATTTTTTTCACCCCATAATTTTTAATAATTTCTTAAGTAATGGTGTGAAGAAGGAAAAATAATAAGGGAATTTTTTTTAAAAAAAAAAAAGAAAAGAAAAGAAAAGAAGAAGGGGTCAGGATTATTAATTTCGTCAAATGCAAGGGGTAGGCAGCTATATATACACACTTTGGAAGTTGGGAATGACGAAAATAACACAATCACCCCTTATTTTGGGTATATATACAAAACATACTGGTAAAGTTGGAGGTAACAGTTTCATTTTCCGGAGAGATGGACATCATTGTTGGACTTGAAAGTTCCAATTTCTGGAGAGAGAAAGCGGGAGAGAGAGGGATCGGGGAAGAGAATGGGGTATCGGACCTCTCGTTATTGCCGGAATGTTGCATTTCGGAGATCATATCATTGACATCACCCACGGACGCATGCAGAGCACCGTCGATCTCATCGGTGTTCAAGTCAGCTGCAGATTCCGACACTGTGTGGGAGAAATTCCTGCCGTCCGATTATACGGAAATCCTATCGAGGTCCGTCGCTCCGGTGGTTTACTCCACCAAAAAGGAACTCTACTTTCGCCTCTGTGACACTCCAATCCTCCTTGATGCAGGCAATCTGGTAAATCAGTTGCTCTTTTATTGTATTCTATTTACTTGCAAATTGGATTCTTTGAATGTCTGTTGCTACATTTCTCTCTGTGTGTCCTTGCGTGTGTGTGGGAAGATATAGTGAATCAGGATTCGGACCTCTCAATTTCAAAATTAGTCAACTTCTATCAAGTTTTAGGTTGCGTTTGGCATAATTTCTCAAACTAGAATTGCATTTCAATACAATATTTGAGCTAGTAAACCACACTAGGGTAGAAGTTTTACATACAATCCATTAAGGTTTTAGACATATTTTTCTGATAATACAATATTTGAAACTGTTAACAAACAGAGCTTCATGCTGCATAAATGGAGCGGGAAAAAATGTTATATGATACCAGCAAGAGGGCTTTCGATTGTGTGGGGAGATACGCCACAGTACTGGAGGTGGACATCTTTGCCTGAATCAAGGTCTCTGTCTCTCTCTCCATCTCTCTCTCTCTCTATATATATATATATATATGTGCGTGTGTACGTGTGAGTGTAATGAGTTCCCATAGTTTACCTAATTTTTACTTATCTTTGCATTGATGAGTGATGTGCATATACTTTTTTTGTGTCCAGATTCTCTGAGGTGGCTGAGCTCCTGAATGTGTGTTGGCTTGATATTGGAGGCAAGATGCAAACCCAAATGCTGTCTCCAAAGACCACATATGTAGTTTACCTTGTCTTTGAACTTGCAGAGAGGAACTATGGGCTTAGAGTCTCATCAAAGGCATCACTTAGATTTGTTGGGGAAAGCCAAGAAGAGGCTGGATGGTTGACCAACACAGTTTACTTGGGATTGCCTGAACGTAGGCGAGGATTGCGTAGAAGTGCAGCTAGACAACCTAATGGTTGGCTTCCACAAAGGAGAGTAGATGGGTGGATGGAGAGTCAGCTGGGGGAGTTTTTTAATGATCATGGAGTTCACGTTGAACTGGAGATGCACTTAAATGAGATCGAACATGGTCATTGTAAGTCTGGCCTCATTGTCAAGGGCATTGAGCTTCGGCCTATAGAATAAAAGTAATGCTACGCTAACTAAATTTTGGGATTAAATTTAAAGTTCAAATAACATGACAACATGTTATTTGGAGTTTTTATTGGGATTCAAATAAAATGACACAAAAAATAGAAGCTCAAGTCAACTGTCATATCATTTAAACTCTAAATTTGATTCCAAAATGTAGTCACCTTAGCATTACTGAGAGAGTGAATTGAAAAGATACACTTGCATAGTTTAGATCTATTTTATGCATGTTGTTGAATAATGTGATCGCCACTGCAGAGCAAGTACTGTATCATAATAGGAGTTTCCGTGTTTGGATTTCGCCGTCATCCTAATGATTAAAAAAAAAATTATGTGTTAAACTTAAAATTTAGTTTGTATGCGAGAAAACATATTGAAATAAAATATTTAAAATATTTAAATATTTAAATTATACTCTCTTCAACAAAAAAAAAAAAAGACAAAAGTTAGTTCGTTGCCATATCAAACTTTTTTCATTTTCTTGTTACTCTTGCACCCTGCTATTGGTTGAACTCTGCATTAATTTCGGGTTATTTATCTTGTACTAACCCAAACCCGAAGTACAATCCCACTTTTACCCCTCTCCTAAAATTTTATTTTCTGCACTCAAAAATTAAAATTTTTACACTGCACTCAATGTATTAAAAGTCTTGCAATATGACCTTTACATTAGTTTTTATTACTTATTCTGTTAATGTCAATATTGTAGGTTTTGACAGAAAACAACAGAAGTTAATGGAAGAGTCATATTGAATACTTTTAATATATTAAAAGTGTAATATAAGAAATATCATCTTTGAGAGTATAAAGTATAAAAATTTAAATTTTTCGAGGTGTAAAGTGAGATGCTCCAAAATATATAACAAGGCAAAAATGAATGATTTGAACTTTTTTATAGAAACAATTGGTTGCAATTTTATTTGGGGAAGAGTTAAAATGGTATGGAAAGAGATGTGGGTGGGAAGAGAAAATATAAATGGAAATAGAAATTGGAGAGAAACAATATTGGTAGTTGCTTTTGGCTCTGGCCTAGACACTATTTTTATTTTTTCAGGTCGAGAGGGACCATTGCAGTTATTGTTATCAAGGGATGGATGGGATCCAACTGATGTTTTGGTTCTTGTATATGTTTCAACTAGACTTGTCAATCGTGTCGACTAAAGCTGTTTCGTATCGAGTTTTAGCGGATTCGTGTCAAAAAGTAATCTACATATACTCAATTTATATATTAATTCATGTTTAACGAGTCGTTTTATATCAGATTCGTATATATCATGTNGGACATCTTTGCCTGAATCAAGGTCTCTGTCTCTCTCTCCATCTCTCTCTCTCTCTATATATATATATATATATGTGCGTGTGTACGTGTGAGTGTAATGAGTTCCCATAGTTTACCTAATTTTTACTTATCTTTGCATTGATGAGTGATGTGCATATNTCTACATATACTCAATTTATATATTAATTCATGTTTAACGAGTCGTTTTATATCAGATTCGTATATATCATGTATAACTGACATATAAATGAACTGTGTCGTGTATTATTTTTTTATTGGCTTCACTCATACCCAATTAGTTTATTAATCGTATCGTGTCAAGTTCACTCGTTTACGAAGTGAATGACTTAAAAAAAATTCAAATCCTCTAATTTTATATCGTGTTGATGTCATATTAATGGGTTGTATCATATTTTAAGACGCTTNTATTTTAACACGCCTAGTTTTAACTGTTTATCACGAAGATATTGTTTGTTTAACATGTTTGTTTCATTTTATTTTAGAGATGCTGTGCTCAACATGTTTGTTTTATTTTCTTTTAGAGGTGCTATTTTGTGTTTTCCTCTGCTAGTATAGGTAGAAATTATTATAAAAAACTAAAGAGTCACCTTGAAGAACACCAAATCCTATCCTTCCAAAATGTGGAAAAAAAAAAGAGGATGTAAAGGACTCTAGCTCCTCCTGGACATGTGCCATTAAATTTAATCCATGCTTGACATTAGAGGATACACTAGTAAAATCGGAATCGGCTCCCCTCCAATTTCATAAGAATTAAAAGATCCCCCAATTCATACACATAAGTAGATTTAACTCATCTTTTTTTTTTTAAATCAACTTATCATGTAGGTCTCTCTCTTCAACTTCTCATTTTTTTAATCTCTTACCNCGAGGTGTAAAGTGAGATGCTCCAAAATATATAACAAGGCAAAAATGAATGATTTGAACTTTTTTATAGAAACAATTGGTTGCAATTTTATTTGGGGAAGAGTTAAAATGGTATGGAAAGAGATGTGGGTGGGAAGAGAAAATATAAATGGAAATAGAAATTGGAGAGAAACAATATTGGTAGTTGCTTTTGACTCTGGCCTAGACACTATTTTTATTTTTTCGGGTCGAGAGGGACCATTGCAGTTATTGTTATCAAGGGATGGATGGGATCCAACTGATGTTTTGGTTCTTGTATGTGTTTCAACTAGACTTGTCAATCGTGTCGACTAAAGCTGCTTCGTATCGAGTTTTAACGGATTCGTGTCAAAAAGTAATCTACTTATACTCAATTCATATATTAATTCATATTTAACGAGTCGTATCATATCAGATTCGTATATATCATATNTATTAATGCTACAATGATTTCTTCGACTTTAGTTATAGTGTGAAAAGTTACTAAAATATATTTTTTTCACCCCATAATTTTTAATAATTTCTTAAGTAATGGTGTGAAGAAGGAAAAATAATAAGGGAATTTTTTTTANTGTATTATTTTTTTATTGGCTTCACTCATACCCAATTAGTTTATTAATCGTATCGTCTCAAGTTCACTCGTTTACGAAGTGAATGACTTAAAAAAAATTCAAACCCTCTAATTTTATATCGTGTTAATGTCATATTAATGGGTTGTATCATATTTTAACACGCCTNAAAATATATTTTTTTCACCCCATAATTTTTAATAATTTCTTAAGTAATGGTGTGAAAAAGGAAAAATAATGAGGGAATTTTTAAAAAAAAAAAAAAAAGAAAAGAAAAGAAAAGAAGAAGGGGTCAGGATTATTAATTTCGTCAAATGCAAGGGGTAGGCAGCTATATATACACACTTTGGAAGTTGGGAATGACGAAAATAACACAATCACCCCTTATTTTGGGTATATATACAAAACATACTGGTAAAGTTGGAGGTAACAGTTTCATTTTCCGGAGAGATGGACATCATTGTTGGACTTGAAAGTTCCAATTTCTGGAGAGAGAAAGCGGGAGAGAGAGGGATCGGGGAAGAGAATGGGGTATCGGACCTCTCGTTATTGCCGGAATGTTGCATTTCGGAGATCATATCATTGACATCACCCACGGACGCATGCAGAGCACCGTCGATCTCATCGGTGTTCAAGTCAGCTGCAGATTCCGACACCGTGTGGGAGAAATTCCTGCCGTCTGATTATACGGAAATCCTATCGAGGTCCGTCTCNCTTTTAGAGGTGCTATTTTGTGTTTTCCTCTGCTAGTATAGGTAGAAATTATTATAAAAAACTAAAGAGTCACCTTGAAGAACACCAAATCCTATCCTTCCAAAATGTGGAAAAAAAAAAGAGGATGTAAAGGACTCTAGCTCCTCCTGGACATGTGCCATTAAATTTAATCCATGCTTGACATTAGAGGATACACTAGTAAAATCGGAATCGGCTCCCCTCCAATTTCATAAGAATTAAAAGATCCCCCAATTCATACACATAAGTAGATTTAACTCATCTTTTTTTTTTAAATCAACTTATCATGTAGGTCTCTCTCTTCAACTTCTCATTTTTTTAATCTCTTACCATCTCTTTTGTCTCTCAATAGACAAATTCAACGGGTTGAGGATGGAGTGTGGTCGAATTAGAGGTGGCAGCGCATTGAGACACTTCTTCTATTGTCTCTGTACTATTGGCCTACTGGTCCACTTTGAAAAATTCATGGCTCAATAGACCGGTGACACAGAATCGATGGGCACTACTAACTAAGGCAAATCCAATTTTTTGGTTCCGCTATACTAATCTATTGAGCATATTTCCCATCTCTTCTCGAGAAACAATTAGTGAGTTATTTCTTTGCAAAATTGTACTCAATTTCATACGTGACAATTCTGCCAAGATCTCTTCATTAGTTAGGGGAAGAATCCGTCTCAATCAAATTTTTTGAGAAATGTATTGAGAGAGAATTTGATTTGATTAGACAACGTGTGGTTGGAAAAAGTAAACAAGGATCGGTTATATAACTTTGGAGTATAAGGAGAGATTCTAAGGATTCATAATATCATAGTTGTCTCCACTTAACGTATTAACTATCTGTTCAAGACGATTGACCCTTTTCATCAGAGGATTGGGCATCTATGGAGTTTCGGAAGGAAGCATAGTTGGAAGTGCTCGGAGGAGAGGATAAAAATAAAAATTACGTATATTGCAGGACTCCACTTTTCCAAACATATTCTTAAAGGTTTAAATTAGGGCTTGGGAATACTTAATGCTTAAGGATTCAGGAATGTTTAAATGCAACTCACACCCCTTCCTCGCAAAGGGCAGAAAAGGCATTTTAGCATTCTCTTTTAATCAAAAGTCAAAACTTATTCAAGTCCACAACAATTTATTTAGAAGAAGATAACAAGAAAATACATCAATATAGGACTCATCGATTCCGGGTATAGAAAAATTCCTCCGCAATGAAGTAGAACTAGAAAGGTTCTATGAATTTTTAAATTGAACTCGCATCCTTTCCTCACAATGGGTAGAGAAGGCATTTTAGCATTCTCTTTTGATCAAAAGTCAAAACTTATTCGACTTTATAACAACTTATTTTGTAGGAAGATAATATGAAAATGCATCAATAGGACCCATCGACACAGGATATAGGAAAATTCCTACGCAATGAAGGAGAACTAAAAAAGTTTCGAGAATTTTTAATTGGAACTTGCACTTTCCTCACACAAAGGGTAGAAAAGACATTTTACCATTCTCTTTCTGATCAAAATTCAAAATTTATCCGAATCTATAACAACTTATTTTGCAGAAAGAGAGCAAAAAGTACATCAATAAGACCCATCGACACAGGGTATAGGAAAATTCCTACGCAATGAAGTAGAACTAAAAATTGGGTTTCAAAAACACATGTAAAGTTCTATAGAAAGAGGAACCAATTTAGAGAGAGAGAGAGAGAGATGGAAATTTTTGAGAAAAAATGTAGTGTTTTACTACCTCACACTTTTACATAATTCAAAGGATGAAATAGGTTTAAATATGATTCTATCTAGAATTCTATTTATATTTTATCAAAAAATTCACGTGACACGCACGTGTATAATATTGTAACTGAAATTAGGAGAATGTCCACGTTGAAGCATGTCAAATAATTTTAGTAAATATTGCAAAAAAAATGGCAAAAACTTTATTCAGGGAAAATATTGAAATGATGGACAAAGTTCACGTCCAATTATGTTTTTGACCCTTACATATACATGCACAGAGCATTGGTGAGCCCATTTTTTTATTTTTTATTTAATAAAAATTAATTTTTTAATTATTTTATATTATTTTATCATCTTAACAATCAATGACAATGAATCAATTAAACCAAAATTCATAATTTCCAATTAATTTTGGTATTGTACCAATATATATTTTTTATAGATAGACAATCTCTCATCAAAATACGAGGAAATCTTTACATTTTTGGTGCGAATGAAATGAAAAAATCTATTGTCTACAAAAAGGTTTGAACTAAATAAGGTCAAACTATAATTCAAAAAAATCGAGATCAACAACTAGTAGATTACAAAATTTCAGACCAGTCCTATAAAATTAAGAATATCAACCTAAAAAGTTGTGATTGATTCTAAGTTTGTGAAATGATCAAAAATCTCGACTTGATTAAACTATAATTTTCCTTTTGGTGCAAAAACTAGAAAAATTATTTTTGAGCACTATAGAAAAAGTTAAAAAGACCAGAAGGAAAAGTGGTAGAGAATCTCCTATTGAAGCCCATCAAACCCTATCCTTATTACATAGTTATAATAAAAAAAAAAAAAAAAAGAAATAAAGATGTAAAGGAGACTTTATCCTACCCTCAGTTAGGTTTGAGGGAAAATCGTGGATGGAAAATGGAGAGTGGAAAATGAGAGGGAGAGATTGATTTTCCACCGTTTGATTTCGAAGAAAAAATGGGTGAAAAAGAATATTGGATGGAAAGACCATCCTTTGTCCAATTGTGGGCGGAAAACTGAAAGAAAGAATGGGCCATTTGAAATTACAGGCTCTAATTACTTATTTACCCATGTCAAAATTCTTCACCCTTTAACTCTTCCACGTGTTCAATTTTACACCACATTCCATTTGGTGAGGCATTTGATTTGTCCCATGTGAGCTGTTAAACAACAACATACTCTCTTTTTTTTTTTTTAACATTTTAGAAAAAAAAAAATTGTTGGAGAAAAATGTCTATAGGTGAAGTATATAATGACATTATAGCAATTTTTTGTGAGGGTTCAATGGTAAATTGAAGTTTATGTGCTTTCTTTCTTTTTATTTTTTCTTTAATACCAAATAATGTAAAAACAATCCTTCCACTTTTCTATTTATCATACCAACCAAATAAAAGAGAAAATGATTTTCTTTCCGCACATGATGGAAAGACTATTCATCTTATTTTTTCATCCCTCCAACTTTTTCTTCCTCCTATCAAACGAACCACTAGTCCATGTATGCCATTTAGTTTAATCAATCACCACCCTTTTCAAAACATATAGGAAAATCATATTAATAAATTTTGTAAACAAGACCAAAAGGAAATCCCTTCCACCATTCTCTCTTTTCCATGAAATTGAAAAAGATTTAAATAAAGGCTTTGGTTGCTTAGTGGAGAAGGTGTTAGGGATTATACTACGTTTAAAAACACTATGGCCTCTAAATTTTATCCTTTATTTTATTTTGACCTCCAAACAATATTTTCTTCTCAAGATAATATTCAAACTATGCAACATAATTCTGACCACCATATTGATGTATCCCACAAATTCTGATTACCAAATTTAAAAAAGACAAAGTTTATTCGAAGAAAAATTGAGGCAATAGACAAAATACACGGCAAGCAGTATTGTCAATTAATTGTGTCATTTTTTTTAATATAGTGTGATTTATATCTCGGTAAAATATTTTTAACTTGTATGTAACCTATTTATAGTCATGTAAAGACAAATTTGTGTCATATCTGATTCGTGTTATGTATAAATTTATTTAATTATACGCATATAGTGTTTAACTAAAATCCCATCAAATATTTTCCTTTATGTATTTAACAAAATTTTCATATAATATTCAACTTAGCTAAATCTCAACTCAAATTATTAATGTTGCATTGATTTTGTATCGACTTTAGTTATAGTGTGAAAAGTTACAATGCCTATAAACTCACTATAAATTTATCTAAAATATATTTTTTCACCCCATAACTTTTAATAATTTCTTAAGTAGTGGTGTGAAAGAGGAAAAATAATGAGGGAATTTTTTATAAAAAAGAAAAGAAAAGAAAAGAAAAGAAGGGGTCTGGATTATTAATTTCATCAAATGCAAGGGGTAGGTAGCTATATATACATACTTTGGAAGTTGGGAATGACGAAAATAACACAATCACCCCTTATTTTGGGTATATATACAAAACGTACTGGTAATGTTGGAGGCAACGGTTTCATTTTCCGGAGAGATGAACATCATTGTTGGACTTGAAGGTTCCAATTTCTGGAGAGAGAATGCGGGAGAGAGAGGGATCGGGGAAGAGAATGGGGTATCGGACCTCTCGTCATTGCCGGAAAGTTGCATATCGGAGATCATATCCTTGACATCACTCACGGACGCATGCAGAGCAACAGCGATCTCATCGGCGTTCAAGTCAGCTGCTGATTCCGACACCGTGTGGGAGAAATTCCTGCCGTCTGATTATACGGAAATCCTATCGAGGTCCGTCACTCCGGTAGTATACTCCACCAAAAAGGAACTCTACTTTCGCCTCAATGACACTCCAATCCTCCTTGATGGAGGCAATCTGGTAAATCAGTAGCTCTTTTATTGTATTCTATATACTTGCAAGTTTTGATTCTTTGAATGTCTGTTGCTACATTTCTCTCTGTGTGTCCTTGCGTCTGTGTGGGAAGATATAGTGAATCAGGATTCGGATCTCTCAATTTCAAAATTAGGCAACTTGTATCTAAGTTTTAGGTTGCTTTTGGCATTACTTCTCAAAATAGAAGTGCATTTCAGAGATGAACCTTACAAAATGGAGTTTCCAGTTGGACTTCTAAAGAATTTTGAATGTTTGGTGAATATTATATAAAAATATGTTTGGTGGTGATATCCTGGAAGTGTAAAATAATCTCTCTCTATCCATATTACCCTTAATTTGGTCATACACTTATATATTAACTATGTAATCAAATATATTTCCCATGAAAACTAAATAAGCTTAACAAATCTATCTAAAACTAACATAATTAAAAAGGAAAAAAAAAAAAAAAAGAACAGGTTAGGGCACGAGCCTCCCATCTTATCTGACAAATCTTTAGTATTTACACACGAGGTGTATGTATGGTTTTACTCACTAAATAGGTTTTTATAATGCTCGTGATTACTAAAGTGGGTGGTTGGTTCTAGGTGGTTTGAGTTGTTTCTGAATTCCATTTTTCTCTGTTTGCAAAGAATTCTTGCCAATGGAGGTTGGGTCTAGGTGGTTTTAGAGTTGTTCGGTTTGGTTAGGTTTCTAAAAACTGTTTTTTGTTCTCAAAACTTTAAAAACACCCCAAATTTGTTTGTTTAATTTTTTTATTCTCTAGTATTGTGAAAATTTTAAGAATTGGTATATGATTTTAAAAAATAACAAAATGATATTTTCATTGTTTTATAAGGCAAAATGAAAATAAGAGAAACAACTATATCCAAATTAACGAAGTCTTCCTTCGAGTTTCATTGGAGACAAAAACTGGTGACCGGCTGTTCATCATCTTCTGTTCTTATGCTGTTCATCTTCTCCGCCGGTTGTTCATCTTCTCCTCTCTCTTTTTCTGTCTCTGCGCAACAGATCTGTATGAACATAGATCTGTGTATATATATAGATCTGTGTTCAGATCTGTATATATACACAAATCTGAATGTGTATATATATATATGGCTCTGGGTGTTTGTTTTTGCTGGGTGAGAAGATAATAGAGAGAGACGGTTACTGTATGAGAAGATAATGGAGAGAGAGGGAGACTTGCTGGGTGAGAAGCCGATAAACTTGCTGGGTGAGGGAAATGGTTGCTGTGTGAGAAGATAATGGAGAGATAGTTGCTGGGTGAGAAGCCTGACCGGAGTGATTGCCTGACTAGAGTGATAAGGTTTTTTTTTTTTTTTTTTTTTCACAAGTGAAAAGTTAAAAATTAATTTTATAGATCATTATTCAAACAAGNTTAAATTTATAGATCATTATTCAAACAAGTTTTATTATTTTTTGTTATTTAAAACTATTTTCAAAAATATATAACCAGGTTTTCCAATCTAAAAATTTTTAAAAATACTTTCTTAAAACTTTTCTCAAAAATTGTTTTCGAATACTATTTTTTGAAACGCAAACAAAAAAGGCTCATTTTTGTCNAGTTTTATTATTTTTTGTTATTTAAAACTATTTTCAAAAATATATAACCAGGTTTTTCAATCTAAAAATTTTTAAAAATACTTTCTTAAAACTCTTTTCAAAAATTATTTTCGAATACTATTTTTTGAAACGCAAACAAAAAAAAAAGCTCATTTTTCACTTTTTGCAAGGAATTCTTGCTAATGGTGGTTGGGTCTAGGTGGTTTTAGAGTTGTTCATGAATTTTATTTTTCAGTTTACAAGTAATTCTAGCCAATTTATTTATGACATGAAAAGCCAAATAGCTAATTTAAAACATNAGACAACGTGTGGTTGGAAAAAGTAAACAAGGATCGGTTATATAACTTTGGAGTATAAGGAGAGATTCTAAGGATTCATAATATCATAGTTGTCTCCACTTAACGTATTAACTATCTGTTCAAGACGATTGACCCTTTTCATCAGAGGATTGGGCATCTATGGAGTTTCGGAAGGAAGCATAGTTGGAAGTGCTCGGAGGAGAGGATAAAAATAAAAATTACGTATATTGCAGGACTCCACTTTTCCAAACATATTCTTAAAGGTTTAAATTAGGGCTTGGGAATACTTAATGCTTAAGGATTCAGGAATGTTTAAATGCAACTCACACCCCTTCCTCGCAAAGGGCAGAAAAGGCATTTTAGCATTCTCTTTTAATCAAAAGTCAAAACTTATTCAAGTCCACAACAATTTATTTAGAAGAAGATAACAAGAAAATACATCAATATAGGACTCATCGATTCCGGGTATAGAAAAATTCCTCCGCAATGAAGTAGAACTAGAAAGGTTCTATGAATTTTTAAATTGAACTCGCATCCTTTCCTCACAATGGGTAGAGAAGGCATTTTAGCATTCTCTTTTGATCAAAAGTCAAAACTTATTCGACTTTATAACAACTTATTTTGTAGGAAGATAATATGAAAATGCATCAATAGGACCCATCGACACAGGATATAGGAAAATTCCTACGCAATGAAGGAGAACTAAAAAAGTTTCGAGAATTTTTAATTGGAACTTGCACTTTCCTCACAAAAAGGGCAGAAAAGACATTTTAGCATTCTCTTTTTGATCAAAATTCAAAATTTATCCGAATCTATAACAACTTATTTTGCAGAAAGAGAGCAAAAAGTACATCAATAAGACCCATCGACACAGGGTATAGGAAAATTCCTACGCAATGAAGTAGAACTAAAAATTGGGTTTCAAAAACACATGTAAAGTTCTATAGAAAGAGGAACCAATTTAGAGAGAGAGAGAGAGAGATGGAAATTTTTGAGAAAAAATGTAGTGTTTTACTACCTCACACTTTTACATAATTCAAAGGATGAAATAGGTTTAAATATGATTCTATCTAGAATTCTATTTATATTTTATCAAAAAATTCACGTGACACGCACGTGTATAATATTGTAACTGAAATTAGGAGAATGTCCACGTTGAAGCATGTCAAATAATTTTAGTAAATATTGCAAAAAAAATGGCAAAAACTTTATTCAGGGAAAATATTGAAATGATGGACAAAGTTCACGTCCAATTATGTTTTTGACCCTTACATATACATGCACAGAGCATTGGTGAGCCCATTTTTTTATTTTTTATTTAATAAAAATTAATTTTTTAATTATTTTATATTATTTTATCATCTTAACAATCAATGACAATGAATCAATTAAACCAAAATTCATAATTTCCAATTAATTTTGGTATTGTACCAATATATATTTTTTATAGATAGACAATCTCTCATCAAAATACGAGGAAATCTTTACATTTTTGGTGCGAATGAAATGAAAAAATCTATTGTCTACAAAAAGGTTTGAACTAAATAAGGTTAAACTATAATTCAAAAAAATCGAGATCAACAACTAGTAGATTACAAAATTTCAGACCAGTCCTATAAAATTAAGAATATCAACCTAAAAAGTTGTGATTGATTCTAAGTTTGTGAAATGATCAAAAATCTCGACTTGATTAAACTATAATTTTCCTTTTGGTGCAAAAACTAGACAAATTATTTTTGAGCACTATAAAAAAAGTTAAAAAGACCAGAAGGAAAAGTGGTAGAGAATCTCCTATTGAAGCCCATCAAACCCTATCCTTATTACATAGTTATAATAAAAAAAAAAAAAAGAAATAAAGATGTAAAGGAGACTTTATCCTACCCTCAGTTAGGTTTGAGGGAAAATCGTGGATGGAAAATGGAGAGTGGAAAATGAGAGGGAGAGATTGATTTTCCACCGTTTGATTTCGAAGAAAAAATGGGTGAAAAAGAATATTGGATGGAAAGACCATCCTTTGTCCAATTGTGGGCGGAAAACTGAAAGAAAGAATGGGCCATTTGAAATTACAGGCTCTAATTACTTATTTACCCATGTCAAAATTCTTCACCCTTTAACTCTTCCACGTGTTCAATTTTACACCACATTCCATTTGGTGAGGCATTTGATTTGTCCCATGTGAGCTGTTAAACAACAACATACTCTCTTTTTTTTTTTTTAACATTTTAGAAAAAAAAAAATTGTTGGAGAAAAATGTCTATAGGTGAAGTATATAATGACATTATAGCAATTTTTTGTGAGGGTTCAATGGTAAATTGAAGTTTATGTGCTTTCTTTCTTTTTATTTTTTCTTTAATACCAAATAATGTAAAAACAATCCTTCCACTTTTCTATTTATCATACCAACCAAATAAAAGAGAAAATGATTTTCTTTCCGCACATGATGGAAAGACTATTCATCTTATTTTTTCATCCCTCCAACTTTCTCTTCCTCCTATCAAACGAACCACTAGTCCATGTATGCCATTTAGTTTAATCAATCACCACCCTTTTCAAAACATATAGGAAAATCATATTAATAAATTTTGTAAACAAGACCAAAAGGAAATCCCTTCCACCATTCTCTCTTTTCCATGAAATTGAAAAAGATTTAAATAAAGGCTTTGGTTGCTTAGTGGAGAAGGTGTTAGGGATTATACTACGTTTAAAAACACTATGGCCTCTAAATTTTATCCTTTATTTTATTTTGACCTCCAAACAATATTTTCTTCTCAAGATAATATTCAAACTATGCAACATAATTCTGACCACCATATTGATGTATCCCACAAATTCTGATTACCAAATTTAAAAAAGACAAAGTTTATTCGAAGAAAAATTGAGGCAATAGACAAAATACACGGCAAGCAGTATTGTCAATTAATTGTGTCATTTTTTTTAATATAGTGTGATTTATATCTTGGTAAAATATTTTTAACTTGTATCTAACCTATTTATAGTCATGTAAAGACAAATTTGTGTCATATCTGATTCGTGTTATGTATAAATTTATTTAATTATACGCATATAGTGTTTAACTAAAATCCCATCAAATATTTTCCTTTATGTATTTAACAAAATTTTCATATAATATTCAACTTAGCTAAATCTCAACTCAAATTATTAATGTTGCATTGATTTTGTATCGACTTTAGTTATAGTGTGAAAAGTTACAATGCCTATAAACTCACTATAAATTTATCTAAAATATATTTTTTCACCCCATAACTTTTAATAATTTCTTAAGTAGTGGTGTGAAAGAGGAAAAATAATGAGGGAATTTTTTATAAAAAAGAAAAGAAAAGAAAAGAAAAGAAGGGGTCTGGATTATTAATTTCATCAAATGCAAGGGGTAGGTAGCTATATATACATACTTTGGAAGTTGGGAATGACGAAAATAACACAATCACCCCTTATTTTGGGTATATATACAAAACGTACTGGTAATGTTGGAGGCAACGGTTTCATTTTCCGGAGAGATGAACATCATTGTTGGACTTGAAGGTTCCAATTTCTGGAGAGAGAATGCGGGAGAGAGAGGGATCGGGGAAGAGAATGGGGTATCGGACCTCTCGTCATTGCCGGAAAGTTGCATATCGGAGATCATATCCTTGACATCACTCACGGACGCATGCAGAGCAACAGCGATCTCATCGGCGTTCAAGTCAGCTGCTGATTCCGACACCGTGTGGGAGAAATTCCTGCCGTCTGATTATACGGAAATCCTATCGAGGTCCGTCACTCCGGTAGTTTACTCCACCAAAAAGGAACTCTACTTTCGCCTCTGTGACACTCCAATCCTCCTTGATGGAGGCAATCTGGTAAATCAGTAGCTCTTTTATTGTATTCTATATACTTGCAAGTTTTGATTCTTTGAATGTCTGTTGCTACATTTCTCTCTGTGTGTCCTTGCGTCTGTGTGGGAAGATATAGTGAATCAGGATTCGGATCTCTCAATTTCAAAATTAGGCAACTTGTATCTAAGTTTTAGGTTGCTTTTGGCATTACTTCTCAAAATAGAAGTGCATTTCAGAGATGAACCTTACAAAATGGAGTTTCCAGTTGGACTTCTAAAGAATTTTGAATGTTTGGTGAATATTATATAAAAATATGTTTGGTGGTGATATCCTGGAAGTGTAAAATAATCTCTCTCTATCCATATTACCCTTAATTTGGTCATACACTTATATATTAACTATGTAATCAAATATATTTCCCATGAAAACTAAATAAGCTTAACAAATCTATCTAAAACTAACATAATTAAAAAGGAAAAAAAAAAAAAAAAGAACAGGTTAGGGCACGAGCCTCCCATCTTATCTGACAAATCTTTAGTATTTACACACGAGGTGTATGTATGGTTTTACTCACTAAATAGGTTTTTATAATGCTCGTGATTACTAAAGTGGGTGGTTGGTTCTAGGTGGTTTGAGTTGTTTCTGAATTCCATTTTTCTCTGTTTGCAAAGAATTCTTGCCAATGGAGGTTGGGTCTAGGTGGTTTTAGAGTTGTTCGGTTTGGTTAGGTTTCTAAAAACTGTTTTTTGTTCTCAAAACTTTAAAAACACCCCAAATTTGTTTGTTTAATTTTTTTATTCTCTAGTATTGTGAAAATTTTAAGAATTGGTATATGATTTTAAAAAATAACAAAATGATATTTTCATTGTTTTATAAGGCAAAATGAAAATAAGAGAAACAACTATATCCAAATTAACGAAGTCTTCCTTCGAGTTTCATTGGAGACAAAAACTGGTGACCGGCTGTTCATCATCTTCTGTTCTTATGCTGTTCATCGTCTCCGCCGGTTGTTCATCTTCTCCTCTCTCTTTTTCTGTCTCTGCGCAACAGATCTGTATGAACATAGATCTGTGTATATATATAGATCTGTGTTCAGATCTGTATATATACACAAATCTGAATGTGTATATATATATATGGCTCTGGGTGTTTGTTTTTGCTGGGTGAGAAGATAATAGAGAGAGACGGTTACTGTATGAGAAGATAATGGAGAGAGAGGGAGACTTGCTGGGTGAGAAGCCGATAAACTTGCTGGGTGAGGGAAATGGTTGCTGTGTGAGAAGATAATGGAGAGATAGTTGCTGGGTGAGAAGCCTGACTGGAGTGATTGCCTGACTAGAGTGATAAGGTTTTTTTTTTTTTTTTTCACAAGTGAAAAGTTAAAAATTAATTTTATAGATCATTATTCAAACAAGTTTTATTATTTTTTGTTATTTAAAACTATTTTCAAAAATATATAACCAGGTTTTTCAATCTAAAAATTTTTAAAAATACTTTCTTAAAACTCTTTTCAAAAATTATTTTCGAATACTATTTTTTGAAACGCAAACAAAAAAAAAAGCTCATTTTTCACTTTTTGCAAGGAATTCTTGCTAATGGTGGTTGGGTCTAGGTGGTTTTAGAGTTGTTCATGAATTTTATTTTTCAGTTTACAAGTAATTCTAGCCAATTTATTTATGACATGAAAAGCCAAATAGCTAATTTAAAACATTGTCTACTGGAAGAATTCATATAAGATCACGCAAAAACCAACAAAAAAAAAAAATCTTATGCATAAATAGTTCTAAATGAATTGCACACCAACCAAAGGAATTGTATACCAACTAGAGAAAACTCTAGAAGTCTACATAGCTTATAATGAGCATACCAAAACCAACTATGAACATACAACTGGAAAAGTGTGTTAACACTCTGACCAACCAACAAGTGGAGGACCTTGGTTTGGTGTCCTTTCATCCATTAAGCAACACATTCATCCTCTGATGAATATCAGTTCTCTTGCCATATCTTTATAAAATTTAGTTCGTATTTTTCGTTTGTGAAGTGTTCTTGTTTGTTTTATCTATTTCATTGAAATCAAGAACATTTCTCATTGTATATGGGACCTATTAAACGTTCAGGTAGTTGGAAAAAAAATTACAAAAGAATACATGTATGTAAAATGTGAGGGCATTATGGAAATAAGTCTATAATATCTTTTTCCTGTCCCTTCTTCTTACCAAACAAAACAATGGAGAATTTAGTCCTCTTACTTTATCCATCCCTTTTGCCAAACAAAGAGGAGGAAAAAAAGATTTCCTTCCCTTTTGGATTGAAAATCCATTCCCCTTACTTTTCCTTCCATCCATCCTGTCAAACATAACAAAAAAAAAATTCAGTCGTGGACAAATGAATTAGACTGATATTGACAAAATTTCAAGTAGATAAGATAGTGAGTTTCTGTGGATCACACACGTCTGGGAGGCATAAGTGGTCAAGAGCGATACCCAATTTTTCGGAGGCCGATTCCCAAAGTGAAGCAATAGTTATATGAGCTGGTAAACCACCCAATGGTAGAAGTTTTTCAATCCATTAAGGTTTTAGAGCAACACAGAACCCAAAATGAGAAAATGTTGATTTTCTTTTTTACATTTAATCAATCACGACAGTTTTTCTTATATTTTACATATTTGTCTGATAATACAATATTTGAAACTGTTAACAAACAGAGCTTCATACTAAATAAATGGAGCGGGAAAAAATGTTATATGATACGAGCAAGAGGGCTTTCGATTGTGTGGGGAGATACTCCACAGTACTGGAGGTGGACATCTTTGCCTGAATCAAGGTCTCTCTCTCTCTCTCTCTCTCTCTATATATATATATATATATATGTACCGTGTGAGTGTATGACGATATGTGTAAATGAGGTCCCATGGTTTACCTAATTTTAACTTGTCTTTGCATTGATGAGTGATGTGCACATACATTTTTTTTGTTCAGATTTTCTGAGGTGGCTGAGCTCCAGGCTGTGTGTTGGCTTGCTATTGGAGGCATGATGCAAACTCAAATGTTGTCTCCAAAGACCATCTATGCAGCTTACCTTGTCTTTAAAATTGGAGAGAAGAACTTTGGGCTTGCAGTCCAATCAAAGGCATCAGTTAGATTTGTTGAGGAAAGCCATGAAGGGGCTGAAGTTTTGAACAACACAGTTTACTTGGAATTGCCTGAACGTATCGGAGGATTGCGTAGACGTGTATCTAGACTACCTACTGGTTGGCGTCCACAGAGGAGAGTAGATGGGTGGATGGAGATTAAGCTGGGGGAGTTTTTTAATGATCATGGAGATTATGGTGAGGTGGAGATGCAATTTAATGAGATCAAACATGGTCATTGGAAGAGTGGCCTCATTGTTGAGGGCATTGAGCTTCGACCTAAGGAGTAAAAGTAAATTGAAAAGATAAGCATGCATAATCTAGTTCTATTTTATACCTGGTGTTGAATCATGTGGTGTTCATTGTAGAATAGGCATGGTGTTTTAGGGTGAGAGACAGATGCTAATACGTTACCCTCTGGAACTTTTTTTCATTTTCTTGTTACTCTTGCACTCTATATGCTTGTGGTTGAACTCTGCTCTAATTACGGGCTTATTTATCTCGTACTTACAGTTGTTAATTGAACTGATTTTGATCCTCAAATGCTCTATCTCAAGGGGCTCACTNCTCTGCTCTAATTACGGGCTTATTTATCTCGTACTTACAGTTGTTAATTGAACTGATTTTGATCCTCAAATGCTCGATCTCAAGGGGCTCATTTTTTTTTTTTTTGCAACACAGAAGATAAAAGAGAGTTTCAGAGGAGAAAATTTGTGATGGAAGAACTGTTTGGTGGAAGAAACTGAATCGAAGCTTGATCCTTCGTCGGTGCACCCAAAGCTTGGTATAATGCCATGTCTACTTGTCTCTCCTCGACCTGGGGTGATTGTACTTTGAATCTCCCTATCGCTTGTTTTTGGGTAAACCATCGTAATTTGATCATCATCTAGGAACACATGGTCCTTTTTAACAACAGCTATCATCTCTTGTGCCAACTTTGATGTTTCTTCTTTGTTGTTGGTTATCACTTGGTGGTTCTGTTTTGGAGGAGATTCACATTCACGACCACAATCTCGAAAAAATATTGGGTGTCACCGTTATACTATGTCAATAGTTTCAGGTGGTGAAATGGTTCACTAAGAAGTAAACAAATCAGCAAATGAGTCTCATTAAACTTTATAACCACTCAACTTTGTCATACATAATAACTTCTATGATAGAAAGTACGTCTTATTTAATCTTTTTATTTTTTTCTTATTAGATAGTTACACCCGCCAATAGCACTNCTGTTTTGGAGGAGATTCACATTCACGACCACAATCTCGAAAAAATATTGGGTGTCTCCGTTATACTATGTCAATAGTTTCAGGTGGTGAAATGGTTCACTAATAAGTAAACAAATCAGCAAATGAGTCTCATTAAACTTTATAACCACTCAACTTTGTCATACATAATAACCTCTATGATAGAAAGTACGTCTTATTTAATCTTTTTATTTTTTTTTCTTATTAGATAGTTACACCCGCCAATAGCACTGACAGGCTTATTTTTCTCATTACCTTTCATCAAAATTGTGTCATACACCCGACGAAGAAGCCCTTGGTTTTGCCTATTCCTAATACTAGATCAAAAATATTTCAGACAGGAGACATAATCAAAAATATCTTTCTCCCCCTCTCTGCATCTTTTTTATTCCATCTAAATATCCTTTATTTTTCAATCTCTATTAAAATTCATTTGCAGGTTTGCAAATCATTAATCCGCTAAAACTCATATCGCTTATTATCATCAATATCATTTATTGATGTTATATTGAATTTTATTTCTTCAAATATTAGAAATCAAAAGGTATATTTTTTTTGAAATTTGAATAANTGTTATATTGAATTTTATTTCTTCAAATATTAGAAATCAAAAGGTATATTTTTTTTAAATTTGCATTAAACATATAAATAAAAAGACAAAAAAGTGAATAATATGAGCTTAATTATAGGAAATATTGATTGTTATTTTATTTGGGTGAAGAGTTAAAATAGGATGGAAATATGGATGCAAAAAGATTTGTATGGGAAGGAAAATTTAGTATGGAAAAATGTTTGGGAGAGAAAGTAGAGAAATGGCAAGAGCAAAAAAAAAAAGTTGGGTGTTTTGGCCAGCCGGTACATTAATTTGGACTTTTGGCCAAGAAGGACAACTAGTGAAGTTAAGTTATGGAGCAATATACAAGATTTCAATTAGTGAATTGTACTTTATACCCTAAAAGATTTCAAAATTCTTCTTTTATATCTTTAAAGATTAAAATTTTTATATCATACACTTATTGTATCAAAAGAGCTGTAATGTCACCGTTCTATTAACTTTTTGTTAGTTTTTTTGTCAATATCAATTAGTTGATTTTTGACGAAAAAAATAAAAACGTTAACAGAAGGGTCACATTATAGTACTTTTGATACATTTAGAGTGATTAATTATTTTTTTCTTGTATACTGTTAGATTTATCACTACTTGATAATATTGTTTGATCAATTTTTCTCGTAATTTTTTTTGCCAATTGACATGTTGCAGCTAGAACCATTAAATATTAGAAAGATCCACTAATCCATGGTTTACCCCGAGTTTATGTGAAAAAGTTAATAAGAAAATATGGCAAGAAAGAGTTGCATTACCTTTTTATTTTTAAGGAAAAAAATAACTTTCCATAAATAGAAACTTTCCATTAATATTAAGCCATATTTTGGATTATAAAAGTTCGTATTCATTTAATTGTCTTTTTGAAGTTTGATTTTTGAAAATTTTAAGGGGTTAATTTACCTGTACTTTTATATTTTACCGGGTCTCTCTTCGAAATAAAGTCTAGATCGCTATAATTTTCGTGGGGGTCACAATTTATCCGATAAAAAATTTTATTACCTTAGGACCATTATAGTTACTGTTTATCAAGACTGCGGTGGTTGACTTTCCTGTCATCAGGTCACCAACTTCCTTGACCTTTCGGCACGGGAGAGATGTCAATCCCCATTCATGGTCTTATGACTTTGCAGATACTTGTGTTTTTTTTTTTAAACAGTGGTCCGGACGCCTTCTCCCGAAACATATCAATATTCTTTATGTAGTCTTATTTTTTTATTTTTTGTGAAGAAAATCAATTATAATTTTATTACGGCAGATCATCAAGAAGAGGAGGAACGTTTATAATTCAGGTGCTTGTTCCCATCATAGATTAGACTATTGATAAAATTAACCTTTTTAGAAGCATTGTGTTACTATGTTGTCGGTAGTCCTCTCAACGGATTGAATTGGGATCAGCATTGTCTTATTATGATGTCGGTAGTCCTCTGAACGGATTGAATTGAGATCAGATTCTGGTTAATTATTACCAAATTTCATACTAAGTATTTTTGTCTTAAATGACGTGATATAATTTTAATTATTAAATATTAATAAAATTTATTTATTTAACGATAAAAATTATGTTATATCACTCAAGATAAAAAATTTGGCAAAAATTTTGTTAAAAAGTATTGACTAGCATAGCAATATTGATAGAGTTGACTTCCTTTTAATAAAAAATTAGCACAGGTTTTAAAATTTTAATTCGAAACCCCAAATTTGTTTCTTTTGTCCATGGGTTCTAAAATTTTCTTGCTTTGGGAGGTCTTAATATTTTATTTTTGAAGATTCCTGAAAATTGAGGGATATAACTAGCTTTTGTTGTTGGGCTCTTGATAACATTGTTGATCGAGTCGATTTACCAGGTCAACTCAAATTCGTTGAACTCATTTTTTAAAATAAATTTGAAAAATTATTTAAACTCATTTCGTTTAAATAATTATTCTTGATGGGTTAAGCTCAAATAGTTCAATTTATGTGTTAAAGTCCAACCCCAGTTGGGGAGCCCAACCTCATTTTGATTCCACCAAGCCCAAGACAGTCTAAGACCGGTTAGACTTCTTGCTTAGCACGTCATCAAGAGGAGAACACGAGAAGCTTATCTGCACCACCAAAGGAAACGGGCCAAATCCACCAAGTTCAAGACAGTCCAAAATCGGTTAGACTTTTTGCTTAGCACGTTACCAAGAGGAGAGCATGAGAAGCTTATCTGCACCACCGAAGGAAACGGTCCAATCTTTGACCACGTTTCATGAAGAGCTCCCCAACCTCCTCCTTCCGTTGAGGATAAGTCGTGATCTCCACCA